TATTTGAGCGCTTATGGTTGTCTGATATCTCTCTCAGATTTTCTTCAATGCCTTTGATTCTATTTTCTTTTTTCTTTTTCTTTTTTTTTGTTTGCTTGTGTTATTTCTAACAGCCCATCTTCAAGTTCAGAGGTTCTCTCTTCAACTTCCACAAGCCTGCTGGTTAAACTCTCCATTGTTTTTTATTTCGCTGAATAAATTCTTCAGTTTGGCAAGCTCTGCTACATTTTTTTTCAGGGCATTGATTTCCTTGTACATTTCCTCTTTCAGGTCCTGTATACTTTTCCTCGTTTCATCATGTTGTCTAGCTGAGTCTTCTTGTATCTCATTCAATTTCCTTAGAATTATCACTCGAAATTCCTTGTCAGACATTTCAAGGGATCTCATTCTAGAGGATCTAGAGCTTGAGAGTTATTACCCTTTGGTGGTGTACTTTCTTGATTTCTGGTATCTTTTCTTTGATGTTTATTCATTGTGGCAGGCGGTTTCACAGTCCACAGGTTTGACACTATTATCTGACTAAGATGTTGATGGAGTTTCCAATTTGATATGGCTACCTCAGTGACTGCTCAGTTGGCCACTAGTGCCTTGCGTGTGTGGTTGCCTCGGGTCTTAGGCCTCTCCGGGGAGCCACCTCTCTGGTCAGCTTGGACTCGGCCAGGCTGCTGGGTAATGGGGCGGTACCACAGGGTGTGTGGTCTCTGCTGAGCTTCCACCTCCCCTGCTGGACATCTCCCTGCTCTGTGCGCACTGGGCCGGGCTTGGGATGGAGCTGGGTGGCTGCGGTGAAGCCTACCTGCTGCTGGATCGCATGGTGACGGCCCCCCCACAGGGTGTGTGGTCTCTACGGAGCTTCCGCCTCCCCTGCTGGACGTCTCCCTGCTCTGTGTGCACTGGGCTGGGCTGCTGGATCACACGGTAGTGTGTGGTCCCCGTGGAGCTCCCGCCTCCCCTGCTGGACATCACCCTGCTCTGTGCACACTGGGCCGGGTGGTGGCGGTGAAGCCTACCTGCTGGATCGCACGGTGGTGGCCCCACAGGGTGTGTGGTCTCTACGGAGCTTCCGCCTCCCCTGCTGGACGTCTCCCTGCTCTGTGTGCACTGGGCTGGGCTGCTGGATCACACGGTAGTGTGTGGTCCCCGTGGAGCTCCCGCCTCCCCTGCTGGACATCACCCTGCTCTGTGCAC